TATTTTATGAATACATAAAAATATAAGTTGGTTAAGAGGAATTTCAAAGTGACATTAAGTGAAAAGACAGCAAGGTGCAGAAAAAATTGTACATCACAGCAAATTTTATACAACGATGACAACCCATCTATGTTTGTGTTTCATGTGTTTGCATATTATTTTATGAATCCTGGGGAAAACATGCAAATTAGATTAGATGGCTAACCCCTGTAGCCTCAAGGAGGTAGTTTGGTGATAAAATATATGACAAAAGAGAGAAGGGAGGAATCAAATACGAAAAGTCTCCTATGATCACTTTCGAGTACACAGGAAAATTGGACATGTTTTGAGAGTAGGGAAGAAAATTTTACAAGCCCTCCATGGTTTCTTCTTACCTTCAGGCAATAATTTTTTTTTTTTATTGAAAGCTTTTTGCCACTCAAGGCTCTACCACGTAGCCCTTCCCTGTCATCCCAACCTCTTAGATCTACATTTTTACAAACACCTTCATGCTTTGTCCACAAGGAACAGTTTTCCATTCCCAAAATGCATTCCATTCTCTAATTCTGACCTTTCTTTGGATTTGCTATTCTATCTACATTTGCTTATTCCATCTTTAACCACCAGGTACATTTCTACTCATCCCTTGAGTCTGAACGTCTGCTTCCAGGGCATCTGTCCAGACCCCCCTGCAACTTCCCTGTCTGTTCTGCAGAGGTCCCTGCCGGAGAGCACTGCAACTGTCCTCTCCCAGCCTCTATTAGCCTGAGGTTCTTGAAAGAAGAAACCATCTCTTCTCTCTCATTTTCCCCCTGATCATGATTTAAGCTTCTCTAACTAGACATTCCCTGAAATGATTCTAGGAATTTCTGTAGAGAAAGCATTTCTTTGCAATCTGGTTACTTCTGGGGGACAGGGTGGATTCCACTACATCCATACAATAGGCAGAGCTCGGTCACACAATAATACCGACCTTCCAGGAGCAGATGGTGGCACTTGCGGTTAGTTTGTGTGCTCTTGGATGAATTGGCTGAACCAAAGTCTCATGTCACCTGGTGGCAGACTGGCCAGACGACCTAAAATGAGTGTTTATAAAACATGGTAAATATTGAAGATAAACCATCTTCACAGGCTTTGTATTTGTCTTCGAGTCTATAAATGTGATGGTTTAATTGCATTTTCGAGTACTTTGATACAAAGTGTTCCTTCCTGTATTGTTTTTGGTTATGCCTTGTTTTAAAAAGGGCAAGTAATCAGATATATCATCTACTGGTTATTGTCCCAAAAACGCAGGGTGCTAAGTAATTATAGCAGATGTGATGCTCTTGGGGCCATTCTTGTACCAGAGACCTAAACTATGACCTCTAAGCATTTTAGTTAGAACAGCTGGGTAACTCCTGAAAAATCAATTTGCTCACTACACACAGGCATGAGCCACTAGGTAAACTTGGTTATGTGGAGTTATTTGACCTTCCAGGTTATTTACCCAAGTTAAAACCCTGCTTGGGGTGTATGAGAACAAACATTTCAGGGAGAAAACGAAGCAAGTATATCAGTGCTTCATTTCCTTTAAATGCTGGAGAGAAGAAAAGAAAATCTTCACCACCTGGGTAGAACAACTTTGGAATGGACTAAAGTTTTCCTACTTTTTTCTATTGGAGAGCTCCGATTTATGTTAATTCACAAATTAAATGAATTGGATGGTCTTCAAAATTTCCTCATCAGCTGTAGCCAAAGGCCTAAATTCTTGTCATTTGGCACAATTAAAGGAAGGGCCAAAAATGAACCGGCAACAACCTTCTAAAGTGGCTATTAGCAAAGTCACATTAGGGTGCATTAGTGAAGATTGAGCCCCATGCTTCCTATTAAAAATTCCCTGAGCAGTCATTGCCTGTTTATTTAAGAATGAGTAAAATGATATTTCAAAACATACAAACCCAGATTATTATGTCTGGGGAACCAGCATACAAACTCCAGGGGGGACTTGGAATGTGAACAGGTCATCTATATGCAACCTCCCTTTAGATTTCTAATGTTTCTCACACTGTGCCAATGTCTACAGGTATATTCCATGGAACTGTATGCAGCGATAAAGCACAACTAAAATGTAAAAACATATTGACATTAGGCCTGAGAGGTATTTTAGCACTTATTTAATCTGACCTCTTCATGTTACAGAGTGAGAAATCCTGAGATCTGGAGATTATCTGTTCAAATCTTAGGGTAGTTGAGGGCAACACTAGAAGTGGAGCCCAGGTCTCCTAAATTCTCTCTGGGACTCTTTGCCTGTGACGTATGCTTCTACTCAATCTGTTAAAAAAAAAAATTGTGGTATATATGTGTAATAAGGATTGTAATGCAAAAACAAACAAACAAACAAACAAAAAACACCAAGTACATGTATAAAGACATGAATTGGCGTGAACATACTTTATATACAAAGATGAAAAATTGTGCTCTTATGTGTAATAAGAATTGCAATGCATTCCACTGTCATGTATTTAAAAAAAACAAAATCAATTTTTAAAAAAAACCCTATCACTTAATTTATAGGGACAAGACTGTCCTTTCGCTCATCAATAGTGTAATTACAATAGTCCATATTTACTTGCTTCGTGTGTGTTTCTATTATTTCTTGCTTTTGATAACACCTGAAGGGTCTACCAAGAAGATAGTAAAGCAAAAAGATGGAATAAAGCCACATAACTATTATAAATCTGGAAACCGAGATCTAAAGTTGGCAATTCTGGAGATGTGATTGTTGAACGCCCACTCTACAAATGTACCACAAGAAAACCGCTTTTCTGTCTTATGAACCTTTGGAATGGTTCCAAAACCTTTTGTTTTGAGGTGGCAGGAATTGAGCCCAGGGGTGCTTAACCATTGAGCCACACCCCCACCTCTTTTTTATATTTTATTTAGAGATAGGGTCTTGCCAAGTTGCTTAGTGCTTCACTAAGTTGCTGAGGCTGACTTTGAATTTTCGATCCTCCTGCCTCATTCCTCTCAAGTCACTGGGATTACAGGTGTGCACCACTGTGCCTGGCTTGTTTTGGGTATTGAAGTTAAAGTTTCAGAAACTACAGTTTCTTTTCGACGAAAATGGTATTTGTTAATATTATAAATACTAAGGAGTTAAGAAGTCATACAGTAAATAAGTTGGTTTAATATGAGTCATTATTTTCCAGACATATTGGAACACAGAAGCTCTTTTTGTGTGTGCCTAATACGAGCTTCTGACAGAGGAGATCTTCCACAGAACCTGGTGAGCCACAGGATGTGGACAGTAACATGTCCTTTAGTACTTCATTGTATTCAAAAGTCTCTACAAAATGTTTCCTGGAATCAGCTCATGGTGGAGAAAGAAGGAAGAAGGAAATAAAAGAAGTTGACAATGATTCTGCAATTCTTGAGTCTGCAATCTTACTGTGTGTAGACATGATCCACAAGTAATCAAAACCACAGGCAATGAATAATCCAGCACCCAGCATCCTCATAAGGTACAGCTGACCACATTAGGAGTTTAGATTTGAGCCTACAGGGACAAAGGATGTCTGAAATTAGACTGAAGTGCATGGAGAAAGGCATGTGGCTTACACAAGGGTGAGCAATACATGTTTGCTTAATAAATGATGGAGGACATTCGGGGCTGAGGACCAGCATGACCTTGAAGTCAGATGGACCATATGTTATTAATGGAGGAGAGAAGAATCCAGGGTATCTGGAGCAGGGTGGAGGGACAGCACTGTGCTAAAGTGGGCAGGAAATAGGGCTGCAGAAGCAGGATCCATGCAGAAGTTAAAAATTTTTACCTGGTGAGAATACCCGGTGTCTTCCTGCAATCCTGGGTCTTTTCTTATTCATCCCCAGAATCTTACACTCAATCTGAGCACAAAATAGGCATTTAAAAAAATATATAGGTAAATACCAGAGCAAATGACTGAGCATGTATAAAATAAGCACCATGAAGAATACCTGGAGAATTTCTGTCTGAAAAGTAAGATGATATGAGAAGTCTTCTCTGAAAATTGATCAGGTTGGTGACATCTGAAGAGGGCTGGGCTTGAGAGATGCCACAGGCAACAGACATCCCTTAGAAGACAAAGGGAAGAGTTTGGATTATCCCCCACCCTGGAGTGGACAAATGTAAAATACCTTTTGAAAGAAGAATCAATAAGCCAAAGGAATAACTAAATAAAACAATGAAAAAGCGACAGTAAAACCAGTAACTAAGTTTAAACCTAAGAAAGTGTCATTAATAGAAAAAAATGAAACTTCGAAGAGATAGTGGGCTTTGGAGAAAGAGTCAGGAGTGGGAGCAAATATTCAGAGAGGGCTGCTCTGTCCCCAGCATGGTGGCTCAGGGAAGGTGCATGCTTGCAAAGCACACGGAGCCCTCTGAGCTCATATTCCAAATAAGACACAGAGATGATCATCATGGCCCCCGTTCTACGGATGAGAAAGGAGAGGAGGAGTAGAAATGTCACGGGCTTCTCATTCAGGAGAAACAGGATTGAATGAATAAGTCGGGTCTGACATGGATATTTTGAGTTTACCTGCAACAATGTGCGAGTTGGAGAAGTGAAATCGTAGTACTTATTCCATGGGGATCGAGTTCGGTGCAATGGGTGCAGGTGGCATGCCTGGCCTGTGTGGGGCTCTAAGACCTGGTGAGGCAATGAGAAGATGATGAGCACAAGGTCAAGAGCTGATACCTAGCAGAAGCTACAAGAAAGGAAGAGGAATAGTGAAGGAGCTGCATGAATGGAAATCAAGGGCTGCTTGAGAACCTCCCATGTGTGGGACGGGGCGGGGTGACAGATACAGATGGTCGTGCACGGGATACAGTGTGATGCTGCATGTCAAAGCTGGCGGAGAGCTTTGATTAGTGGTGTCACTGGTCACAGACCCCCAGACGAGGAGAATTTAGAAAGTTTTCACTTCTCAATACCATCATCCCTCAGGATCCATGGGAGTCTGGTTACAGGATCCCCTGCAGACACCACACCCCAGGGACTCTCAAGATCCTCATAAAAAAAAATGGCATTTGCCTATAACCTACACATATCCTCCTGTATCCCTTCAATTATCTCTAGATTACTTGTATCTAATAAAAGGTAAGGGCTATTTAGTTGTTACACTATAGCGTTTAGGGAACAGCAACAATTAAAAAAAAAAAAATCTGTACTTGTTCAGTAAATATGTCATTTTTTTTTTCAAATATTTTAAAACCGCAGTTGGTTGAATCCATGGATGGAGAGAGGGCCACCTGTACTTCTTCCCTTCTTGCAAACCAAGAGTGGAACTCAGGCTCAGTTATGCCTTTCCTTCCTCCAACTTGTCAGTTTCTACTAGGACGAGACCCTGGCTGGAGTTTTGGGTTGAGTGTGAGAATTTAGTACTGAAAATAGATGTATTTATGGGGAGAGGAAACAACTGATGCATAGGGATTTAAGGGGAAGATGTCTTGAGTTGTTAAGTCTTTCACGGATACTTGAATGACAGACTCCTCCTACCCCTGTTTCTCTCTCCCTGGAACAGAACTGGGGAAACTGGGAAGTGAGCTGGAAATACTGCCACAGGCAGGATATTTATTCTCCTCTCCAAGCTTCGGTCCACTGAAGCTAGACCCACTGCACATCTGTCCACTCAGTGGTATCATCTTCTTCAGAACATGACCTGATAATCTCCACCCACAAAGTCATGCATCCCCTCATAGCTTGGCACCTTCAACCTTAAATGACCTCTCCCTTGCTGAGCTCTTCAGCACTTTGTCGTTTGGGAAGGCGCCTGTCACTATTGAAATTCCTCAAAAACAAAAATCACCATAAAAGCATGAATTTATTAATATGCATCCACATATTTTAAACTTCACAATAGGGGCCAACACAGCATGTGAATCATGGCTTCTGATTCCTTTTTATTATCCACACTTACAGTTTTTTTTGTCCATATTATTTAGTCTTTTAAGTTATAAGTTCCCTGAAGGCAAGGATCAAGATTTCTACATCATAATATTCATCAAAGCCTTGAATTTAGAAACTCAATAAATATTCAATGAGTATATGAATGCATT